CACGCACCTTAGAAGGATGGAAGGCTGAGTCAACCTTGAGCCGGTGAGATTTGAACCACCGAACTGCAGATAGCAGTCAGCTGAAGTGGCCTGCAGTACTGCACTCTAACCACTGCGTCACCTATATTTGCCTTCATTCATGAGTCCATATAGCAATTAAAAATTTGAATTTGGACCTTGGTAGACAGGATTTAGGTTTGTGTTCATCTGATTACAGAGCTAAGATACAACCAGATTTTGCTAACAGATGCAGAATTTTCTTCTGCCCATCCCTGTATTGGGGAGATGAATAATTGTTTGTCCTTTAGAAAGTGGGAATTTCAAGAGTTTATATAAGATGCTTTCCTTTCAACCTAACATGTCACCTCTGAGGGTTTTAAAAATGGAGAACTAGACAGTAAGGATTGATATTCTTTTGAACATTTTCCTGGCTTACCAATTGATTTTTTTAATTAAACAAACAAACAAAGCAGCGAAAAGTAACAACTTCATATATAATTCCAAAAGGTTTCAAGAAATGTGTCATGTAGAAATAAATGAACCTTGTTGTTAAAGGTCTCTTTTAAAAGGGAACTAAAAAGCACTTCTCTTCACAACTTTTCCTGTAATCTTTATCAAACACAAAATGCGTACAAACTCTAGCATGTGCTTTTGTTTACAGTAGCAGGAAAACAGGGTCTTAATTGTTGCAAACCAGATGTTTCCGAATCTTCCACCCATGCTCCCTGCTGGCACATTCATCTCTAACGGCATCCAAGACTACGCTTTTCCATATTAGCTGTTGCCCTTTCCCTCTCCCTTTAGATGAATCAATATCCAAATCTCCCAGATGTCTTCCAGCTGCTGCTTTTCTTCTTTGCTGAAATAGGACCAAAGTTTGTTTTCAGAGCTCTTCCATTGCAGCTGCTGCTTTCCTAACATACACAGAGCTTGTGAACTGCTATGTAATCAATTGGCTTCTTTTGAAATGGGGAAGGGCTCCGGCAAAGCTCTGTCTAAAACCCGATCTCGTAAAACCAATGTAATAATAGCAATAAAATAAACTAATTTGACTTATATATTTTTATTACTGTGGTATTGGGCTTTTATCTTTGTAAGGCACCTTTGTAAGTCACTGGGAGTAAATTTAGGCAGCCCCTATACATTTTCTTAATAAATAATTTTTGTCTATGTAATCTGATGACACTTGAGTTCTCATGCTTGTTCGGGACCAATTAAATTGGAGCTGGTCCATTTACTGCTACATATTTAGTACAGTATTTAAACTGAAATTTGGTAGAATTTGCACAGCTCAGCATAATTGTGGTTATTTATAAAACCGCGATTAACTGCAGTTTATTGTTGATACGCATTTGGATTGGAAACAATTTTCTTAATGCCTGTTCTATCTTTTTTCGCATTTTCATCAATGTGTGTGTTACAAAGACATAATTATCTAAACAGGGACACATTTTCCTTGATGGTCTCAAGCAGTTCAATGTTAAACAATGGTGTAAGTACAGGATTGTTCATTTAGATCAGTGATTCTCAACCTGTGGGTCGGGACCCCTTTGGGGGTCGAACGACTCTTTCACAGGGGTCGCCTAAGAACATCGGAAAACACATATTTTCTATGGTCTTAGGAACCAAGACACCAATTTTATGGTTGGGGGGGTCACCACAACATGAGGAACTGTATTAAAGGGTCGCGGCATTGGGAAGGTTGAGAACCACTGATTTAGATATAAACAGTGCATTTTACGTATAAAATGGGCCAACTGGGATGGCCAACTTTAAGGGGAAATTGCAGCCTAGAATTCTGGTCTGGGATGTTACTAAGAAATTCAGATTTATCATTTTACAGCTGCTAGGCTAACAGCCAAGGATAGAAACCACCTGCTACATATCGATGAAAATAAGCATGTGCTATTTGGTCTGGACCTTTTCTGTGGCATCTTCATCTTGTCAAAACATTTTCCTCCCTCCAACTCTGCCAAACATAAACTTTGTTTTGTATGGTATACCAATCCGATTCAATCAACTAATTTCCTCTAGTTATATAATAGTAATTAAGAGTCAAGATTTCCAAAATCTTAACATTTTGCCAGAAGAAATGAAAATGACTGTACTTATAAATACAGAGATCCAAGTACAGTTTGTATTATTTTAAAATTATTGTTTTTTTATTTTAATAATATAACTGTATGCCTGTTGGGAAATAGAATTAAAAATCCCCCTACTTTCAAAACTCTTTTGCCAAGTGATCTTTTGCCAGATTCTTGATGTAAAAATAAAAACTCATTTGGATGCTTTATATCCCACCCTATTTTCTTATGGAAAATAAACTTCATAAGAGCAAAAATAAGCAATGTAGAACTTTCCAGATGTCCACAAAATAAAGATGCTTTCCTAGTTTTGATCCAGTTTTCTCCAAATTAATGCTGGAAGTTTTTCCTAACTAACATCTCTATTGGTACAGTCTTCGATTTACAGCCATTTGTTTAGTGGCCGATTGAAGTTACAACAGCATAAACAAGTGACTTTTGACCATTTTTTCACACTTATGACCATTGCGACATCCCCATGATCATTTGATTAGTATTCATTAAAATGTATTTATGACAATTGCAGTGTCCTGAGGTCATATAAATAACCTTTTGCGACCTTCTGACAAGTGAAGTCAATGGAGAAACCAGTTTCATTTAACTAATTAACTTGTCCTTATTAACTGCACAACTGCAGTGATTTCATCTAACAACTATGTCAACAAAGGTCAAAACTCAGTCAACCCTGGGGCAAAAGTCACTTAACTGTCTTGTTTAGTGATGGAAATGTTAGGCTCAATTGTGAGCTTAAGTTGAGGACTACCTGTATACATTATACCGACTTCCGAGGTGACTCAGAAATAGTGTATAAGTCTAAGTGCTATTGCTATTATATAAGAAGTATAAGAGTTAAGACTTTTTTTGTAATTATACTGTGATTTTGTGAAATTGTGATAGTCACAGTATTCACTAATCAAAATAGTATCATGATTCAGATATAATTACTAGCAGTATTGTGAAAATTGCTGTATACCCATGGATTTATCAAGATATTAGTATGATTTATTGGAGTTAAGTCATGACTTAACATATGGTTGATGTTAAGATGGTTTTCTGGCACTTGAAAGAACATTTTTGATGGCTTTATATGGAAGAAATGCAAATGGGAATTGAGAGAATTATATAAGAACTTTTTAGTATTTCATTGTGAATTTTTTTCATGTGTTCAGAATGATTGTATCAGGTTTGGAAAAAAATATAGATTTGCATACACAGATAGTAACAATCTTCTTTCTTCTGATTACATGTGAATACATTCATAGCAATTCTATTTAAATATTGTTTTAAATACCACACAAGGACAATTTATGCTCCCTCAGACCAAAACCCCCCAAAAGCCTCTCCTTTTCTTTTTCTCTTTTAATAATTTTTAAAACAGGTAACTACACAAATGGCTTTTCCTGGGAATGGAAAATAAGAGGGTCATTGATATTGGGTATTAAATTTTATCTTGAGTAAAGATTTAAAGATTTAAGCAACTAATTTATATAATACTGTAATATAATTTCATAAGTGGTTTTTAAAGATTATTAACATACTTTTTAAAACTTTTACCAAAAAAATGGAATAATTGATTTTGCTGCTGTTTAGAAATTATGAAGTTACATTATTTGACGTTACAGATCTAATGTAGTGGAAGATGTGGTTGTTTCATTAAGTAGCATGGTGATATTTTGTACAACGGATTTAAATTATGGATTGTGAAGAAAATATCTACAAAGTTTCAGTCGGGGGAAAAACAGTGTTCTATTTTGAATATTGCATAAACTTATTTGGAATTTTCAGAGGGATGTTAAAGATCCTTTTATCAAGCTTGTCTCTTGATGGTTTTATGAATACATTTGTGAAGTTTTTGTGGCAACAATATGGCAGACGCACAAAGTCCTTGCTTTTTGGTGTGTTTTCCAACTTCTTAGACTAGTCTAGTCATCTAGGTACCAGTTTGGCTTAGCGTTTTGAGAAAAATTTAGTTTAGTTAACTTGCTAAGTGGGTTAAACTCTGTAAAATGGTAAATCATATCTCCTTCACCCAGGACTAGACGTTTTCCAACAAAACTAAGTTTCTTTTTTAATTCACTAACATACAGAGAAGATTTGTAATTTCTTATAAATTAATTAATTTTCTGCTGTTCAGCAAGTATGACTGATAGTATGATAATTTGGTTTTTTTTAAAATAACAGCTTGATTCATTTGAATTCATCTCTCAGTGTTTATAAGAACTGTCATGAATTTGGCCTTCCATACAAGGATCATGTTTTGAATTGGATTGGGCAATAATTTTTGACAGTGTTGATAGCATGTCTGGGTAATGCATTCATGTGCTTGATGCTGAAATGAATCTATATATAAGAAATATAATATAAGAAAATATATAAGAAATATAAGAAAATGGGCTTTCTTAATCAGTTCTTGATCCTTTGTAGGTTATCCCCTAATCTCACTAGTGAAATTTTACAGTACCTTCCTATGCATAGATTCCATGTATAATGGCAAATAGGAGAAACTGCACGTTTTTCAATTGTTGAACATGGTAGCTTCAAATTGTGAATATGCAGACTTTTGTGAATAGATAGGATCAATGAAAATGATAAAATCATACATATATTCTTTTTCTCTCTCCCCCCCCCCCCATGTTCAGTTGTTTGAATTACTAGGACCTGAAGGATTTGAATTAATAGAAAAGCTCCTGCAGAACAGAATTACCATTGTGGAACGATCTTTCTCTGGGCCAAATGATTACAGGCTACAATCTTTACAAGGTAAGTATCAAGTTTACAAAGTTGAATAGTTAAATTCTGTCTGTAAGAAAAATAAATTATTTTATAAACTATAGTGAGACTGGTAAAAACAAAAATTTTAAATGCATGGTTTATTTCATCCGTAAAGAACTTTAGAAAAAAACACATCTTTTTTAGATGTATTTTAAAAAATAAAATAAAATAGGTGAACAGGATTCTCAGTATATAGTTCAATTTCATTTTTGTTTGGGAGATGATCCATCAGAATGCTCCAAATATTCTGAGTCCATGATAAAGGAATTTGCCTTCTAGTGTTCAGAATAATCAGGTTTAAAATACATCACTGTGATATCTCAATCTGTGTAAAAAAAATCACATTTGTGGGATGGGTAGCTATATAAATTTGATAAATAAGAAATAAAAGGTTGTACTGTTGAATATTAGATAACCGATACAAACATCTTCCAGACTAGCAAGCCCTTATACACAAATTGAATTAAGCATTTAATAGGCCAAATCGAAGCTAGCTCTATTGAAATCTGCAAGGATACTGGAGAAGGAATGAACTTGCAGTGCATCAGTTTAAGGACTTCAATTTTGCTGGGTATTTTATAGAAAGCAGCTTTGCTATTCTATATCTGCTTCCTTTTTCAGGGTTAGATTATATTCTGATGATGGGATCTTCTTGAGCCTATTCTATTTTGTACAAGGCTAGCTGAAATACAACTGATACATCAATTTTTTCCCCCAAGATTTTAAGCAACTTTAAATACTTCATAAAGTTACTTTTAAGCTTTCATAGTGTTGCTCAGAACCAAGAGTGCAGAGAACAGGAATCCATAAATAACGGACTGTGTTTACGTGTTACAGAACAGTGCAGAAAATTTACAGGAGAAAATTCTAAGCCAAATTATGGCTGCCAAGTCACCATTCAGTCTGAACAAGAGAAACAGCTAATGAAATTATATCGCCGTGAAGAAAAACGAAATGCCAGGCGAGAAAAACGAACTGGGGATGAAGGGGAAATTCTTGTTGATGCAGGAATGTCTTTTGATCCGAAGGAGTTACGGATGCAAAGGTAAGACGTTTCAGTGTAATGCTATCCTTGATGTTTGCCAAGCGTTTACTTTCTCTTAATTTGGTTCTATTGATGAGAAAGTTTCAATTACCAGTTGAATTTTAATTAAAATACAGGTAGTCCCTGACTTCCGACCACAATTGAGCCCAAAATTTCTGTTTCTAAGTGAGACATTAATGTGTGTGTGAACCTACTCAATGCCAAATTGGAAGGGGTTCAACCGCAAACCTTAGTGACCTTTGAAAACGCTATATGAAGGTACAAAAACACTGTTACTGGTTAAGGAAAATGATATTCTGAAAAGCATGAATAGATTGTTGATTTGAATAATTGCTTGTTAACCGTTTTTTAAGTTAATGTATCTCTAAATTCTCCACTCAGACGATTCATCACACACACACACACACACACACACAGACACACACACACCAGCACCCTCCTTCCCTGGCCTCCTTGCACTTGCATGCACACATGAAAACACCAGCCTCTGCTTTCCCCAGCCTCCCTGTGCTTTTTACAAGCATTCATCCATTATAACCCTAACCCATTGTTCCTGTGTTCACCCACAGGAATGCACTCATCTGTGCCCCTCCTTCCCTGGGCCTTTCTGCAATCCCATACACCTATATACCCACTAACATCCTCTTTTGGCCACCCTATGATCGCACTTACCCAACACCCTCTTTCCTTGGCCTGCCTGCATATGCATGCACCAGTGGTGGGTTTCAAAAAAATTTAGAACCTCTTCTGTAGGTGTGGCCTGCTTTGTGGGAGTAGCTTGCTGGCTATGTGACCGGGTGGGAGTAACTTGTTGGCCATGTGACCGAGTGGGAGTGGCTTGCCAGCCATGTGACTGGGTGGGCATGCTCAACTTGTAAAATGTGGTAAAACTCACTTAACAACGCTCTTGCTTAGCAACCAAAATGTTGGCTCAGAAACTCTGGCATTTGAAGCACAAGTCTTAAAGCTGTCAAGTTACAAGACCCTTGCACCCCTAACCCTTTAGGAAAAAAACCCCAGGGGTGTTCAAAGTTGACAGCTTTAAGACTTGTGCTTCAAATGCCAGTGTTTCTGAGCCAACATTTTGGTTGCTAAGCAAGAGCGTTGTTAAGTGAGTTTTACCACATTTTACAAGTTGAGCATGCCCACCCAGTCACATGGCTGGCAAGCCACTCCCACCCAGTCACATGGCTGGCAAGCCACCCCCACCCAATCACGT